CGTCGTCAATTTTTACACTACTCAAGTCTAAGTTTGGAAACAGCTCCTCAGCTTTACGCTTGAACATCTTCCAACCACTGTCCCAGAACTCAGCCATTTCGTATTTATAGAAGTTGGACCGCTGGAAGCTCTCAATAATTTCTGCCTCAATCTTACCCCCAGCAGTCGTCCTCGACGGGCTCGCCCCTCCAGACTCCTCCATCGCCAAGCTGCTGGCGACCGTGGCGTCAACTGCCATCTGAAATCCAGCAGACCCCTTGAACTGATCCACTGCTGCAACACACAGATCGGGGTATGCCGCCCTTTCAGAGGCTGCCCTGGCCCTCTCCTCCTCCAACTCCTTCTGCAGGGCCGCCCTTTCAGCAGCCGCCTTGGCCCTCTCTTCCTGCAACTCTTTTTACAAGGCCTCCCTCTCCTCCATTGCCTTAACACGCTCATCTTCCAGCTCCTTCTGCAGCCCAGCAATCTCTTGGTCCGCATCTTCTTTTTCCTTGATCTGCTGGGCACGCAGATTTCATTACTGGTCATAGCCTCTTCAAATCGTTCGATAGCGGCCGCGCAATCCTTTTGAGCATCCCCCAACTTCTTCTGCTCGCCTGCCAGTTGAAACTCGAGCGACACAACCTGGCGGCGTTCATTCTCCGACTCTAACTTGACCGCTCGCACCTCAGCATGGGCACTCTCCCAACCTGCACGCTCCGCCTTCAAACTTGTAAGTTGAGCCTTGGCCTCGTCTGCCCTCATCTTTGCAGCCGCCGCCTTTTTTAACAGAGCTCCTGCTAAAGTGGTTACCTCCATTTGAGCAGAGCCTCAACAACTCAGCCTCATTGAATCTGGCTACTGAGCGCACGGCTGCCTCATCCACGATCCCCACAAGGCGATCTGCACCTGCCCTGGCTGGGCCTTCTTTTCCCTCCAGCCGCCCAGCCACTGCGCGAGCGTGGTAGATCCCGGTCGTCAGCCTGACATCCCTTCCTTGGGGCACAGGACCCCCCTGGGGCTATTCTCCTCCCCTTGGCTCAGGGCCAGTTGCCCCACCTTCTACTTGCACTTCGGGGGCGACCCTCGCCACCTCTGAGGCGATCTCCACCATTATTGGGACGACCTCCACTCTCTCCGAGGCGATCTCCACCACTTCTGGGACAACCGCCCCTTTTGGGGTCTCCTACATTCCCCCCTTCTCTGCCTCCTTGGCCATGCTGGTCTCTTATGCCATCACTTCCCTACTCCTCTTCACGATAAGCTCTTCTTTACTCCTCACTCTCCTCTTCTTCTTTACCACACCCTCCACTTCCATCTCCTTCAAAGCCCTCTCCTTAAAAAGATCTACTAGGAGCGGTCGGGGCACAAATCCACCTAAGTCTTTTTCCCCCAAGGGTTTGGGGCGTGGTCGAATCTTCTCCCTCGCAATCGACTTTGGCAGTCGGTCTTCCTGGGCCTCTTTGAACTTACTAGCTTTGGCGAGGATGGCCATATCTTCAGCCTCTTGCGCTTTCCTCCTCGCCTCCAATTCAGCTCACCCCAGATCTCCACCGTTCGGCTGAGGACCCAATCCCGCTCCAAACAACGCTGAGGGTTGAACGAGTTCGTCCCACCTGACCCCCTCCTTCTCACGCCATGCCTTCACCTTCTTTATTCTCTTCTCTACCGCTGCTCCCAATTTTGGCTCTACAGATTTGGTGGGCACTCTTCACACTGTGCGCACCCCAGCACCTCCATTCGTAGTCACATAGAACCACCGCGACCTCCAACCTTTAATTGATGACGGCAGCCCCGCCACCAGACCCCTCCCTACCGCCGCCTGCAACGTCACCCAAGTCTTCTGTGGTCCTGAGGCCTTATAACATGTGAAGAATTCGTCTACTGTCATGGCCGCCCCTTCGTTCGCCTTCGGCCACGCGCTTGCACATGCCAGTACAATCTTCTACGCGTTGGGCATTAGTTGGCCCGGTGCCACCTCCAAACGATTCTGGACATCTACCACCACTTGCGGCAGTGGCAGCCTCAGTCCTCCCTTCAATGCTTTCTCGTAAATGGCAAACTCTCCCGGCCTTGCGTCGGATGGCCTTTCCGTTGACGTCGGCAGCAATAATTCTATTTCAGCAGGCACCTGGTATTTTTCACGAATAGACTCCAACTCTGCCGCGGTAACCGTTGATTTGTCAGCCTTCGTGTGCCAGTGATCTGGTTCCGCCTGGCTGATTGGCTTCAGAGCTACTATCATGGTGGAAGCATGAGATCGTACCACCGATTTCCCCACCCTCGCCATTTGCCTCTCCGTCCTATACTGCTCTACTAACTCCACTGCATCGTCATCACTAAGCGAATCCACCCTAACATTCACAGCTTCTTCTTGGGCCATTTCTATGGTATGTCTGCGAATCGCTTCGGATGCAGGTGCAAAGAAATTGAGAAAATGTTGCAGAGGTGTATCGTCAACAACAAAGGAGTTAACACTTGGGATGTTTTGATTTTTCGCAAAGAAGTAGGTAAATCGAATAATGCCAAAAGCCCAAGGCTTGCTCATATTCCAAGGGTCGCAATTAATTTGCGCCAGTTTGAAAACTTTTCAAAAACATCCGCCAAAATTATCTTTTCAACACCCATAATGACCTATCGTTTCATTTTTGATCCAACGCGTAATCTACCCCCCACGAGATGTTGTCATGTGTACGACCACAATCTATTGTCTCCTCCCCTTACCCTGTCTTTTCCACTTTAAATCAACCACGTGACACGCCGTCTCTTGAGCCCTGCGCCCCTCCACCTTACCCTTCGCAGTCGGCCCTCCTCATGGTCAGCCCTTCCACGCGGCCAACCTTCGCAATCAGCCCTCCTCGTGGTTGGCCCTCCCACACGGCCAACCCTCGTGATCAGCCCTCCTCGTGGTCGGCCCTTCCACTCGGCCAACCTTTGCGGTCAGCCCTCATCGTGGTCGGCCCTCCCACTCGGCCAACCTGTGCAGTCAGCCCTCATCGTGGTCGGCCCTCCCACTCGGCCAACCTTCGTGGTCGGCCCTCCCACTCGGCCAACCTTCGCGGTTGGCCCTTCCACTCGGCCAACCTTCGCGGTCGGCCCTTCCACTCGGCCAACCTTCACGGTCAGCCCTCCTCGTGGTCGGCCCTCCCACTCGGCCAACCCTCGTGGTCAGCCCTCCTCATGGTCGGCCCTCCCACTCGACCAACCTTCGCGGCCGGCCCTCCTCATTGTCGACCCTTCCACTCGGCCACGATTCGCGATCAGTCCACCTCATGGTCCTCCCTTCCACTCGGTCCACCTCACGGTCGATCAACCTCGCAGTCGGTCCACCCACTCGGTCACCCCTGCCAGTCGACCTCCATCCTGCCAATCTCTAACACCCTCATTCTCTTCATTAGTATTCCCTTCGTTAGGCTAAAACTGCACTCGGGAATAAGGGACTATTGACGTGGGTAAGCCCATAAAGGTCATAGCCCACTATGAACAACCCAAGCCCATCACTTAGAGCCCAATACATAACCCAGTTGGTGAAGTCCAGAACAGCTGGAACCCAACGTGGCATAAAGAGCTAATGACATTCAGACATACGGCAGGTAAAGGACAAACCACATCAACAGACAAAGATCTGCAAAGTTATTACCACTACACATCACCATTAATACAGCCCATCACAGCATTTATTACGACAACACCTCTCCGTCGGAACAGCACCCCCTCACCCTGAACAAGGTAAGCTACAACATAGACTTTCGGCCAATGTGGCAGGTCGGAAGGGACGGCGAAGTGATTACTAGAGGATATAAGCAGACGTTGAAGACAAGAAGAATGTTAAGTTTTTCTATCTCCAGTTCATATCTCTACATTACACTTCTCTCTCTCTAACTTGCTCGTTGGAGGGTTCGCTGGGGGACTCCTCGTTCCCCTATTGAACTTGTGTACAGGTTCTCTAGTGGGCTTGAACACCCAATTACCAATTGAAGAAGCGTGGATTAGTCCGACCCATTCCATCTAGGACCCGTTGTATAGTAACTGTATCATCACAATATATGCCACATTCAGCCCGTAAGGAATAGCAATCTTGTACTGAATACATCCTTCAAATAGATAACCAAAAGGCCAACTATGTACAATATCAGTATTAAAAAGGACGCCAATAAACTTATCTGAGAGCTACTTCAAAGACTGGCGCATTCTTGCAGCCTGGCCCTCTGAAAAGTTCTCCAAAATTTAAATAACATAGCATAGCCCCCATTAGACCTATAATAAGCACTCCAGTACTATCTTCGAGGAGCAGCAAAATGGAAAAAACCCACCTACAGGAAGCTGAGCTTAGACTTGTAGCAAAAACCACTATGTGAACCTCATAAACTCAAACGCCATAAAGATACAAAGACACGCAAAGCTCAACACACTGAGTAGAGAAAAGGATAAGAAAATGAATAAGAGAAAACCACTTCAAAAATTTAGATCTCTCATTCACTCAATCCACAACAAATATCTCTCTCACACACGGTACTAGCTCCAAGACTTGCAGAGAAAACAATTTGTTTGTAATAAATCACAGCAGATGTGACAACAGACCTATCAACAAGGCTCACACAATATATGGTCTCACAAGCTCAACTCTCAGACACTCCCATCTCAGAATGAAGGAACTGGTTAATGAGAGAAACAACATGAAAGGATAATAGTAAGCCAAAAAACAACACTCTGAAAATATAGCACTCCCATCACTCAACCCACAACAAAAAATTCCTTATACAATGTGTATACCAAGAATAATCAAACAGCTCCTCCAAACAAATACGAGGCCCAAAACCCTTCCATAAGAAAGTTACCGCCCAGACAAACCTGCATTGAAGAGTTAGAATTATAGGAACTTACTTCACTCAGCCCTTCACATACCTCTACTACCTAATTTTGGACTCACAGTCACTCAACCCTCTATCCCTACCTTAAGGCCAACTTGGCAACCTACAAAGATCAGATATGGAAGAGATTAAGCAGCAAAAAACCTTCTTTTTTTTTTTTTTGGAAGCTAACACTCTCTCAAACCAGAATATGTAGGGCTCACCACACTCAACCCACAAAACCTTCCAACACTCCACACACAATGTGTTGGATATATAGCAGCCATATAGTGTAATCCCACCTGCAAAGACAGAATATACATATGGCAATTTACAATGTGGTGGTTGTTTTGAATTTTTTCCCACATAAATTTGAAAGAAATTAAAGAGACTTACCTGATACATGGTGATGGAACAAACTAAAACAAACAAAGAGGGAACAAAGGAAACAACCTATTCACATTAATGTGTTTGTGAGGGGAAATATTAGGTACACACCGAACATTATTTGATGTTTTGTCTTATAAAAGAAACCTAATAAGAAAAAAAATTAGGTTTCCAAATTCAGTGTTCTTGGCTGTTCAAAACAAAAAATAAAAAATTAGTGTTCTTAAGGGAAAGTTTCCATTCCAAAACACAAGTACCAAAATGTGGATTCATAGAAGCCTTCTATTTTATTTGTTTAGCTTGAAGACATCTATTATCTTTAGAACAACACCAAAACTATGCATGACCAAAAAAAAAAAACACCAAAACTATGCATGACCAAAAAAAAAAAATTTCTCAGATATCAAGATGCCATTTTACTCACCCAGTATTTCAGCATCAAAACCCACATTTAATGATGATCTTATTAATTTTTCTTCATCACCATCGGCATACAAAATCTACAAAAAAAAATAATAATAATCGCACCCTGAACAGGTTTTTTTTCTTCAAGAAAAAAGGGAAACTTGTTGATATAGCCAGGTATTGGGCAGCAAAAGTTCACGACTTCAGAGGCAGGAGCAATTAGGTTCAAGTTGATAACATACACCAGTAAGAGAAAAATCAAAATCTACAAAAAAAAAATAATAATAATCGCACCCTGAACAGGTTTTTTTTCTTCAAGAAAAAAGGGAAACTTGTTGATATAGCCAGGTATTGGGCAGGAAAAGTTCACGACTTCAGAGGCAGGAGCAATTAGGTTCAAGTTGATAACATACACTAGTAAGAGAAAAATCCCAAAAGAGCGCAAGTCAAAGACTGGAAAAAGTTATTGTACACTTTGATTTAACACTAACCCAAGATATACCCAAGAAGCAAATAAAGAATAGATGAAGTAAGCCTCTTTATGGGTTTTGGCAATTTAACATGTAGAAGAAATCTATGCACAAAAGCATATATGAGTCAATGAGAATGTTCTCACCCTGTGCTCCTTTTCTGTATAGTCAAATGAATAAATAGTGCCATCCTAAAACCTGTAGAGAGAATTTAACAATGAGAACTTTTACAAGAAATTTTAGTGTAATGTCACAAATGTCATTGGAAATAATATATTTATATATATAGAAAATAAACAAAACTCAAAGTTAGTTGGCATGAATTCAAGATCTGGTCACATATGCAGTTCAAATAAGTAATCTAGGTAGTCTTCCATATTATCTCATATGAGATGTTGCACAGCAATAAGAAGATGGGTGCACTGTCAAATTGACATAAAGATCTTGAGAAACAAGGACGTCGCAAAAGTGATAACATAATATCAAGATTCTTAAAAGTACTCACACATTGTCCAATGGCCACCAAACTTTTATCTTGCAACCAACCAGTTCTTCACCGTAATTTTTGGTATCACATCGCACTTCAGAAACCTGAATTGGCAATATTAACCACAAATAAAATTGAGAGAGGAGTAATACACCATTATCTAGGGGTGTAGTTATGTCAATCACAAAACAACTTCAAACAAAAGCAAGAAATGTTGTATATGAGAGCTTGATATGCCTTGGTGGGCCCATTCCACCAACTACTTAAGCTTTTGGGACAACTGATCACCTAACTTGGTATTGGAGCTCTTGGTTTTAAAGCTCTTCATATGTATTTATCATGTTCGTCAGTGAGCAAGCAGTTTTGTATGTAATTGTCAAATGATAGGTTGCCAAAGTAACAAACCAGAAATCGAAGAAAACTGTCATCATATAATCAGAGGAAAAGAATTAAAGATATAATGGAGCCAATTCTGGCATACTAACCTCCAAAACTGTCATCATATAATCATTAAAACTTCTAAGGTTATCCTTCTGAGCTTCTTGAGTAGCTAAAACCATTGCCATCGCATGTACCTGATGTGAACATGTTAAAGTTCAATGTGACCACACAACTAAACATTTTTTTAGCTAAGAAGTAAATATTGTGTGCCTGTGCATGAAAGTGACTGAATACATTGAGATATGCAACACATTCAGTATCATGCAATTGAATTGCAGACCTAAAAAATATATACTACAATAATAATAACACAGAAATACAGCACCACTACTCTTATAGCACTGTCAAACATGTTAAACCAAGATAATTCATCAAACTTTACTCATAATGAACAGATTGCTGATATCAACGCAGAAGACAAGAAAACTTCACTTTCAAAACAGTTCCACCTCTGGATTTGTGACTAGTAATCTATATAAAGTGGTACTCTACAACATACCAATTTGAATTGTAGACTTCGAGAAAAAGACAGATAGACACACATGGAGGTATAATATATGCAGTAGAGAACATCATGCCAACTGGGCCCTATCACATCTTGGACTATTATTAATATCCCAAAAGAAAAGGCAACAAAATTGATAATCACAGTGATGCTCTATTACTGAAGGAGCTATGCCATGTACATCAGTGGTATTTCAGCCTTAATTGATGAATGAGGAATCTATTTGTAATGAAAGGTTAAAACAGAATCTAAACATCAAAAGATGATAGTAGCATAACATCACAGACCAAGAAACTAACAATAACAAATACTTAAACAGATAGAAATATAGAAAAGTTTATTGAGGGACATACCATCTGCTGAAGAAAGAAGTAGAAACATGTAGGATAATGATCAAACAGGTGATAGGCTTTCAATGAATTGATAAGTATTGTTACACCAACTTGCTACCCAATCATCAAGATCATCTGTGGATAAATGATGAAACTCCTTCAATGCCTTGGACTTGACATTATAAGAAACAACTTTGCCCCAGACAGCTAACACCAGTGTAAAATCTTTTTCATTTGCTCCCTTCACAACACAGAGCACATTAAATTCAGAGCATGTGATTATGGTTTTGCTAACACACATACACACGCACACAATTATAAATTAACCAAGTAAGTTGTTTAATTTTATTCTGTCTTTATTTGTTTTTAATCAGATTTTAATTTTGTTTTTGTAACAAAATAAAATCTATAGTTTTATTTATTTATTTTTATTTCGAGTTTGATTTTTGTAATCAAACAAATTCTCTTCTTTTATCTATTTCTTTTATTCTTGTTGTTGTTTTGTACACAACAGAATTTAATCTATTTAAATACAGTGAAGATTGTTCAACAAACATCTTACCAGTGATGCTTTTGATCAAATGAAGCAGTGTACCAGGTAAATACCCTTCTTCACTTAGTGTATCTCTGTTTTGCTCCTCCCTTCGAATCTCTCTCGCTCTCTCTACGTACAATGCGATGAGACGATTCAGAGAGATTGAGGCTGAGCTCCTGCAGAGTTGCTCCCATCGAACCGTTCTCTGTGCCTTTTCTGAATCTCGAGTGAAAATCTAGACCAAAAACCCCTTTCTAAGAAATGTAGAACCCTTCTCGATGAAGAACGAAGCCCTAAAAGGATGAAGATGAAAGGAAACTGAACATTAGCCAAATCAAGTGCACAAAACAAGAGTAAAACCCTAGAATTTTGTAATCGAATAGTAATACATTCAAGAAAAAGCAGAGACAAAGAAAGAAAGAGAGAAGGGAGAGAGTAACTAGCCTTCTTTCTACGTTCGTTTTGATTAGATGTATTTTGAATTTTTTAAAAAAAATTTGTTTTTGTGTTTGGCGCTCAAAATTTTTATTTTGGTGCCTATTTTTATTTTAGTCATACTATTTATGACAGAAATTACATGCCGTGAAAAGTAAAATATTTTTAATGACTACCATATGCGTGTCGTGGAAAGTATATTTTTTAACAGTTGACTTTTTGTGCATCGTAAAAAATATAATATTTTTAACTGTTGAATTTTTTGCGTCGTAAAATGTTCAATATTTTTAACGGTTGGTGTACGCGTGTCGTGTATAGTTGATGTATTAACGGCATGCCATATACACGTCGTAGAAAGTTTTATTATTTACGACTAACATTGCAAGCAGTTAAAAAATCATCATTATTAATATTCACGACCTACGCAATAGACACACCGTAATTGAAAAATTATTTACGACATGTAAAAAAAAACAAGTCGTAAAAATAAAAAATCACGACTTGTATTTACTATATGTCATTAATGTAGAACCGTAAAAATATTTTCAAACTATGAAGGCTATTTTGACTTACTTTACAATATTATCGAAAGTGGCTCACGTAGGTGAGAGTAGTTTTTCTCTTCCTTATTTGTTTAACTTTTCATGATGGATCCTGCTAACCAACGTCGTCTCAAGCCAAAAAGGCATTCCTTAGGCCTGTAAATGGATAGGATTCGGATCGGATTTGTCAAAATTCAAATTCGATCCGATTAAGATAAACCTGAATTTGATCCGAATTCATTTAGTTCATATTCGATTATAGATATTCGAATCCGAATTCGATGATTTTAGATATCTGATCCAATAATCCGAATCCGATCCATTTATTTATTTATTGAGCTATAATTTTATATAATTTGAAAAAAAAATTCATTTTGTGTTTTTTTATTCAAATTGAGAATAATTGGATCGGATCGGATTTTTGCAAATTCAATCCGTTTAATAAACGGATTAAACGGATTCAGATTGTCGGGTTATCAGATCGGATTTTTTTATAAACGGATTCGGATTATCGGGTCGGATTCGAATTAAATCCGATCCATTGACAGCCGGTAGACTACCCCCAACACAAAATGACCTTAAACAAACATTTTAAATAACTTAAAACAAGACTTTTTTTAGTTGAAAGCTAAGCCCAAGTAAGCATGCAAATGGGACCAAGGGAACAACCAAAACAAAGCTTAAAAGGGAGAAAAAAGGTTACCCTTGAAGCACTGCAACAACAGCTTCTTTCTCAGCCAAAAACCAGCTTTTTAGCCCCCAAATATGTCCTCCAAGAACCTCAGCTCAATGATGGAGGTGTGTGGTTAAGGGTTATGGTGTAAAAGTAAAGAACAACACCAGTTTTAGGCACCAAAAATAGAGATATAGAGGGAGATATATGCTTGTGCCTTAGGAAATTTTCTGAACCTGTGTAATGGAGAGGGAGACTCTCTCTTATAGAAAAACAAAGGGTTTAAACTTCTTGGAGAAGCTAAACTTGGATGCAATCCCTTCATACACGTGTATGGAGAATACAGTTTGTGCCTTCCAGCTGGCATCCATACAGTCTGCCAAAACAGGGGGAGAGCTGCTAACCACTTAAAGTGGTCGCCCTGCTACTTGCAGTGGTCACCCGACCACTTCAAGTGGTCTCCCAAAAAAAAAGTGGTCGGCAAGGGGAATTGATGGTCTCCACACTGAAAGCAAGCCAATGGTGTGGTGGGAGGCCAGCAAACATGGCCCAAAGACCAAGAAAACCAATTTTTCGACCAGAAAATCGTTTGGCGGGAGGACAAGTGGTCTCCAAGGAGAAAAACTGGTCTCCCACCCTCATACTACCTTCCAAACAAGGGAAACAAGGTTTGTGCCAAAAACAAACCAACACGAATGCAAAACGAGATTTCAGGAGGCAAAACACGTAGCCGGGAGCCTCGAAAACTGGCTGTTGAGTACCAAAAGTGGTATACGACCACAAGAGTGGTCTCCCGAACCATAGTGTCCTTCTAGGGAGAGGAAGCAAGGTGTGGTTCAAAAACCAAGCCAAACGGAGAACGTTAAGCGGTCCCGAGACAAGACGCACGACCGAAGGCTCCAAAAACTGGAAACTAGTCTCCAAACGGGAAAAGTAGCCAACGACCACAGAAAGATGGTCTACAAGACCTCTCCCTCCCTCAAGCAAGGAAAACAAGGCTTGGTCCACAAACCAAGCCAAAGTACAAAGAGTTTAGAGGCCCGGAGGCGAGGCTCTCAGCCAAAAACTCTGAAACCTCGAAACGAACACGACATGCGCAATCACCGAGCGCTCAGTCGATGACGTCTGAGTCTTAAGGTCGGTCAAAAATGGGGTGTCTACAACTATAGCATGTCGTAAAAAAAGTAATAACAACGCACAAAATCTGTCATTAAATAGTTTTTAATGGCGTATGAAACATGTCGTTGAAAGTGAATGACTTTGCATAACTGGTCATAATATAACGCGCGTTGCACGTCGTAGAAGGGTTTTTACGACGTGCAATGCGTGCCATAAAAACCCTTTTTTGTTACATGATCTCTACACGCTCCTCTGTATCAAACGATTTGACCACTCTATAATCTCCTCTCTGATCACGAACTTGAACTGGTTGAAGCACTTCATCGATGATTGCAAGTCCAATCCCTCAATCCTCTCCAATCCTTCTCTCTCCTTCTTCCAAGACTACCTTGAAAGGTATGATATAATTCATTTTTATGTATTTATATACTTTCCTGTTGAATTTGCTTTCTTATGTATTTTTATATGATTTTTTGGTGGTTTAGTGGAGCGAATTGATTTTGAACTAGGTTTTATTCTATTTTCTATAAATTTTTTAGTTGAAGAGACACTTGAAACAATTCGAAATAAGTCAAATATTCAATTCGATTGATTTGATCAATTTCATCACAAACTTTCCGTCAGATTTCCATAGTTTGCGTTGTTTAAGATGGTATGGCATTAGTAACAGATTGAATCAAGATTGCTCTCCCTGCCAAGGGAAGCACGCCAGTTTCCCAACCAATCAACTTACTTTGAAGCTTCTCCAAAATGGAGTCAAAATGATTTTTACTAACCCTGGTGTGAAGCAAGGGAACTCCAAGGTATTTCCTCAAATTTTGGGTCAATGGAATACCACACAGATTGCTCAGATCTTTAGCTCTCCTCCTTTCAATGTTAGGATAAATGAACATGTTGGATTTGTGAAAGTCCACTCTAAGCCAGAGATTTTACTAAATTCATTTAGCACTTCCAAAATGATAGTGCAGTTTGCACTGTCAACTTTAACAAACAAAGATCAAATCATCCGCAAAGAATAAGCGTAAAATAATGGGCCCAATTTTTGACATTTTGAGACCCGTCCACTGTTTTTTCTCCATCAGTGATAATCACTCAGCATTGAAGTCCACATCATTCTGATTTTTGGGTTAAAAAACATTTCATCATTTTGAAAATGAAATGAGAAAATTGTGTACAAGTCACGAACCACCACTAATTTAGGATTATTGTAAGTTCTTTTAAACTAAAATTTAATAATATCAGAAAGTAGAAGTTAAAAGCATTAGTTTTCTAATTTTTAAATAATCAATTTTTTTAATTTATTTAATTATTTCTGTCTTATAAATTATAAGTAGAAATTACATTAAACAATCTGATACATATTCCCAAATTAAAATAAATCATAGTCACCTCTTAAAATTTATATCAAACAACCGCAATGTCACGACATGTAACACATATTAAAATGGAGAAAAAATTATAAAAAAAATAAAAAATTCTCAAAATTTGACATTCGTAACAGAATAAACTCTGAGTTTTTTATTTTATCAATTTAAACTCTAATTTTTTAATTTATTTTTGATCTAAATTATTTGCCTATTTTCGTTAAGTAAAACTAACAGAAAAATGGTATTTTATTCATTAAAATTAACAAAAATGGTATTTTAGAAATTTTATGAAATGGTATTTTAAACATTTTATACACACCTACATTGAATTTAGGGATGCAACTTGTGCAGGTGTGGGCGGATTGAGAGGTTATTCAGGCTTAGCTCAAGTTGTACTAGAATCTGCTCAGCCCGTCCAAACCTGAATTGTAACCCAAGATTGTCTGTTAAAACCCGATCCGAACTAAGTTCGAACTGCTTGAGTTTCCCAAATTGTTCGAATTATACAAAAAATTGAGTTTTTTTTTTAAATTTTTTTTTTGTGCAACTAACTTAATTAATTGGTTAAAATTGCACTCTATTAACAATTTTTTTCCTTTTTTGTAAAATTATTAATAACATTAAATCAAATAATTTATATAATGTAATAGATATGAGAATTAAATAACAAATGTGTCGCTATGATGGCATTTATAATTTCTGAGTAATAAAAGAAAAAAAAAGATTTTGTATTGTGTTTATAATATATATTCAATATGATTTAACAATCTAAATTCTTTTAACATCATCTAATAATGACTAATAATTTACGTATACATTTAATATTTTTTATATATTTACATTTATATAATTCGGATTTCAAGTTGTCTGAGTTGTTTAGTGTCTTTGTTCAAATCTGCTCAAATTTAATTCAGATTTTTGAATTTTTATCCAAACCCGTGCCGAATTCAAAAATATTTTGCCTAGGCCCTAAAACAAAATCGGGTTGAGCTTGTGTTGATCGAATTGAGCCCACTCAAGTTGTATCCAAATTGAATTTAATGACTAAAATACTCTTTCGAGAGTTTATAAACTAAAGATAAGTGATTTAAAATGAAATATAATTATAATTATATTGCTAGTAAGAAAATAAGCAAAAACCCATGGGACATTTTAGTGATGTATCTATCTATACTATTATTAAATGATGCTCGACTTAGTGTCCAAGCCTTTTCTTTATTCCACGTGATAGATTTTTCTATTTAAAAAAAAATTACACAAAAAGGTATATAAGGTTTGATTCAA